TCTTTGCTTTTTGTGAGTCTAAGCAAAACCATTAACATCTGTGTTCTTTGAAGTTCTGGGTAAAGGTACTATCGAAGCAGGCTATATCCAGCCTACTCAGACTAGAGGTCACACCACCTGAATTCTAGTAAAACAACATTCCCAGGGGCAAACACCGAGAGAAGAAAACACTGCTCAAGCCCTTGTTGGAACCAGGCCAGAAACACAAGGACTTGGTGAAGCTTGTGTACTTTTAGGACATAAGGACCTTGTCAGTTTATGTCTTTGTTTCCTTCATCTCCCCCTTTTCTTTTTCTTTTAAGCATAGTTTGTGAACCTCTATTCTGAGTTATTGGATGGTCCATCCTCCTGCTCAGATGGAGACGGGAAAACAAAACACTGAATCCAAAATTAAAATTCCAAGTCCTATCATAGAATATATAGTAGACCACAAACTATGAGTAGATACCAAATGCATAATGTTATCCATGATATTTGTAGCGACGCTACTGACAGGCAGCAAAGACCCAGAGGTGGAGATTCCCACAATATCCTGGTGGAGTTGGACAACATCCAAGAAAATATTATTTGCAGACCATATCCCAAGCAAATGATTTTTAACCAAATCCAAATCCCATTCAGAGTCATTGTGTGGCTTTGAAGGAACACAGACCCATTGAAACTCGGTATGACATCTTAATGACACTCAGGTTTTTAAAGCTGTAGGTTGATTTCCAATGACTAGTACTGCCTCCTCGAGGGCATTAAGTCTGCCTTCCAATTACACATCAATGGCTTCTTGATGAGACAGTGCTGTGGAGATATTCTTTGCCAAGTAATTCACATAATGGGCTGTGTGGATCTCCTGAGTTAATGATATTGCTGAAATAGTAGTTTAAGCAGTCAATGTTACTAAAGCAATAATACCTGCTACTAACAATCCAAGGAGAATACACAATTTAGGAAAAGCATGCCAACTAGAATCTGGATACCATAGTCCAGAGATATTTACAGGCATCATAAGAAAAGAAGATGGATATAGCACCACAATTTGTTGTCCTTTGTTCTCAGGAGATATACAGTTAGTAAGATTACAGTAAGTACACTTACTGAAAAGTAAGAAGATTTCATAGTGATTTCTGGCCGGGAACAGCCTGTAATCCTGTGCTCCAGGAGGCCAAGGTAAGTGAATTGCCTGAGACCGCAGGTTCGAGACCCACCTGGGCATCTTGACGAGACCTCATCTCTATAATAAATCAAAAAATGTAGCCGGGCTTGGTAGTGCACGCCTGTAGTTCCAGCTACTTGGAAGGCTGAGGTGGAAGTATCACCAGAGCCCTGCAGGTCAAGAATGCAGTGGCTGGGAGTGGCCAATGCACTCCCGTCTGGGCGACAGAGTGAGACTCCAACTCAATTAATTAAAAAAAAAAAAAAGGTGGATGTAACACCACAATTTGTTGTCCTCCGTTCTCAGGAGATATACAGTTAGTAAGATTACAATAGGTACATTTCAGTGAAAAGTAAGATTTCATAGTGATTTCCCATGGTCTGCCCAATAGTACATAAGGAGGGGGCACACAAGCAAATATTTTATGAGCTACTGTAAGTGAAGTGATTGAGTTCAGATGAATGGTATATGAGGACCGTCCCAGGGCAGCCATAAGTTTCCAAATACCTAACAGGCCATCCTGCAGAGGTGGAGAGGATAGTCTCCACCCGCCTACCAGAGGTCTCAACATGGTGTAGTTCAGTCTTTGCTAAGGGATTAGGGGTAGCCCAATCCATAGCCCCTTCCCTAGTATGGGGAGTACGGTGCCGAATAGCTACAGAATAATGGCACCACCACCATGAAGGAAAATGGGAGAACAAAAACTTTTCAGCCACAGAGCAGGATGGGATCACAGAGGGAGGGGTTTCAATAGATGTGCAAGAACATGGAGTCCCAGTAAGGGACATGACCCACTCCCACTCCAACCACGGCTGATGTTTTCTTCCATGGGGGGCAAAGCCATGAGTATATTTAGAAATGAAAATAATAGGAACACAACCTGGGTTTCTGGCACTAATGAGGTGCCATAAATGAGAAAAACAAATGGGAGCTCATAAAGAGCATCCTTCATAGGAAAATCCATCTACCCATTGTGGAATAATAGAGTCAGTAGAAGAGTAACCAAGTAAAGAAGCATTACTAACATATACAGGGTCTGAGGGATCATCCCAGACCACCACCCTTAAAGGGGAGGGGTCAGGCACATAGGCCCAATATGGGGATCTGTAATCTGCCACCACGCTCACCTGGCAGGCAACCACAACCGTCATAGCCAGGAACAGGGTTGCAGGATCAAAAGCGTTCCCGCCATGCTCCTGTACCAGATGTACAGCTTCAGAAGTCAGTGCTTTCAGTTTTC